CAATTTATTGCAATGATCATTCTTCACTTTCATCTACAACCGCAGTTCATATATGGATTATTTCATATAAACTTCACATCATTTCACTACTCACGGGAAAATATGAACTCAATAAATTGACCTCGCTCCATAGTGTGCTTATTTTGCAACATACCAACGTTAATTAAATTACAATATGATGAACTAGTTACCTTCCACAATATATCGTATCTGCAGTATCGTCCAAACGCACCAAATGCGTGTTCTTTTCTCGTAAACAGCCACAGAAAAGGGGCGGGATTGTTATTCCTTACAAGTGTTCTGATTAACCAAAATTATGTCGCCGTATTTGTGATCTTAATCACATTTAAATCAAGTACGGAAAGAGATATCTTTGTTTCTCTAGAATACATCGTTTCAGTAACACTTAGGAACATTTTTAAAGTCGCCAATTATTTCTACCTGCATGAGATTTTAATTTCCTTTTCTTTCCGTGTCACGAAAAAAAATTTACTTTCGAGAACTTATTTTTGCTGAACATGTTTACCTTGTAAATTACAAGCGTTTACCCTGATAACTTTCATACTCACTGTGTCAATAAATCACTTCTTTGTTGAACTAAACAAAACTAACTGCTTCCATCGGCTTAAAATATCGCATTGGTGGACAAATCGCGTGGTATGGCGGTGTCTCTACTTCGAAAATATATATTTCTTTTTCACTATCACTATCAAGTCCTGTTCGGAGTTTTCCAAGTTAGTTGGCTTTCAAGTAGGGTGCAGGAAAAAGAAAATAACGTGTGAATTCGATTGTGCGGGGAATTGTGCGGGATTACTGACGAACCAATGTTCTGCCAAGTCCTAAGGAAAATCTGCATTGACGATAGTATAGCCAGTTATTTCACTAGTAGTTGAAATATATTTAGTAGTCTTAATTAGCAATCGCCAATTCTAGTAGAAAACTGCGTCTAACTGCAAAAGAAAATCGTGTTGCGTGACATGAACTAGACGAGCATGAAACCAAAATAAATAGCAAAACAGAATGCCGCATCTTCCCTTGTAAATGAGAGTCCTTTTTAAAAAAATACTCTTGCCTTGATTCAATAAAAATGTGTAGCTTGAATATTTCTTCATAAACTGCGTTAAGGGTCGCAAATTCTTGCAAGTTATCCGCAAAATACACAACTTGAAAGTTTATGCAAATTGTGTGCAATGCAATTTGAGCCTAGTCACAAGACTGTTGTTTTCGCGGAGGAGTTTACCATGATTAGTTTTGGCTCTCTCGAAAGGGATTATTCGCTCTCCAAAGAAGATATGACTTTTCAAAAGGATTTAAGATCGCAACACGGCAAAGATGTTCAGCTACACAATTTACTCGGATCGCCACGACCAGTAAACAAACTTCGTACAATTTCTGCTAGCATGTACAAAGTAATCGCCGTAAGTTGTAAAAAGACCTCGAAAATTCTTTGCAAACAACTTCTCCATCAATGCGTAGACAGTTGTGCTTCATTCTTGAACAAAAATGGTTTAAACTCACAACTTGCGATAGGATGAGGAGGATGCTAAACGAAGCAACTTGAAAAGTAAATATCTAAGCGGAACTCTTGTGCTATAATATCCTGATTCTTTAGTTTGCTTTTATTGTGTCCAGTACGCGTTTTCGTAAAGTACGATTTGATACTGTGGTACGAAGCCCAAGGAAACGCTCTTAGCGCGTCTAGTTTCTTTTTTCTTCCCTGGTTCAGTCAAATCGCCGTTTGGTCTTTAAGGCGCATGCGTCACCTGTGCATGCGTACAGCACATGGAATTTAAAAAAGTTGTCGTCGTGAAAAGTTAGCACGGCTTCCATGATTTCCAGGGCGATGAAATCATACTGTTCGCGTACTAACACTAGAGGACGTTAAGCGTTTTCGGAACGGGTCGGTCTGCAAGCCTTATGAGAGATCAATTTACAAGCGAACATTTTGAGTGAATTTATCAAGAATCATGTTATACCAAAGGAGCCATCAACCGGGGCTATCAACTCTTCAACTTGATAAAAAGCAACTTCAGAAGCGTCATCGTATTTTTAGACGTGATCGTGAACCAAGTAGAATCCCAGCACGAACTCAAGAACGTCTGAGCAACAAGAGCAGGTTAGAGAATTTGTTTACGAATGTATCTGTTCGAGTACACCTAAGTAAAACGTTCTGAGAAACTTCTTAAAGCATAATGAAGTTAAAATCTCGAACTAAACGACATTCTCTCGGTATTCTCTTGTAACAGAGTTATGTGTCTTTCCAAGAATGAAACCCATGTAGCGAATTGAAAGAAACTAATATATGTTGACCCCAGCAAAACAATTCTTGGCTTGCACTGTCACGCAATCCTGATGCAATAAAAAATTATTCGAAAACCATTTAGTGAATGAAGTCAAGAAACTGTCATGTTATAGGAGTTTAATAAAGATGACACTTATCTAATTCTTAAGTCTGTGCGTTTTCCCAAACCTCAGATATTCGTCGAAATATTTTGCACAAATTTACAGAGCCCGGTACGGAGCCGCCATGTTGGTGTACCTCTGCGGTACGCCAACATTGCGGCCGGAAAATAGTGCAAACATCTAGAACTTACTTTGGCTATCTAGGCGACTGATTATCTGTATTGAGCAAACAAGCATTTACATAAGCACTTTTCCTAATACTTTAACTTCTGAATGGGCTAAAAATCACGAGATAAGTATATGTTTTTCGACAAACGCGTTCGTAGCTCAATGTCACGCGCCGAAATAACTCAAAATTCAAAATGTCTCGCTTGCTTGGAAAACGCAAAAACAACAACAACAACGACGACGACAAAGGCTAAGGAAAATAGACTGAAACGTTTATAGGTTGATATAAAGACCTTGACTCATTTCACGCCCCAGAGACCTGCAAACTAGTAATAAGCGCTAGCTATCAATCGATTCCAAGGAATGCAATCAAAGGCAGAATAGCTTGAGCACATCGATTCGATTGAATTTCGAACGACTTCAAATGCAGAACATTTAGCTCAATTGCAATATAGCTAGTGCTTCTCAGTATAACGACTGCCTGGGTACACGCAGCGAGCGTCTAGTTGTAGTGAATATTCAGCCCAGGGTCTTTCTTTTTTCTCTTCCCCTAGGACGATGGAGAGACCCTGCCATTTATTGTTTTGACAGCCAATGGAGTTACAGGTACCGACCGGGCGGCCTATTTAAAGCAGTGTCTGGTGATCAGAATGACAGCTGTTTAATGAAGTGACGTGCTTCTTGTCTAGCCCATACCAGGGAAAAAATGGTTTTCTGGATTCTGGAGACACTTCAACGATATTTACTAAACCGTAGGCACCGGCAACGTAAATTTGGATTGCTGCTCAGATGTATACTAGCTTGAAAGTATTTTCCAGCGAGTGTTAATAGATATAATATCTACAGGAATAGTATTCCAAATTGCTGCTTTTATACAGACCATGATGCTTTCCGGCATATATTGATTTAAATATAATTACCAGCGGAAAAAATGAAGACTTCTTCTGCTATAAAAGTTCTCAATGGAAGAGCGAGATCGTATTCAAATATCAACAAAAAATGTAATCTGTGTTTATGGGAAAAGTTTTTCATCATTTGTAAACCTGAAATGTCAACACTTAATCATAGAAACGAACTGACATAGACCTGTAGGTACTATAAGAAATTTCTTTTAAATACCGTGATTGTTTTATACCGTGATTTTAATATTTCTTTTCTAGTGATATACCTGTAAAATAGCTGGTGAACCATTGTAGTGCACCACCATAGCTAAGCGTATATTCACATTAAGTCAGTATGGATTGATTGCTTGATTGATTGCTTAATTGCATTTTATTTACAAGAACGTTTAGCACTTCCATCATCTAATTACATCTCGACATGTTACTCTGGAAGGCACTGTTCCCTATTTTTAAATGTGTATATCTAAGATTGTAACTGTTATTTTTGGCAGTTGCACGATGATTGGTTTGCGAGAAGCATGAAACTCGGAGTCGTAAATAGATATTAATGTATTTGAATTAGTCTGACTCCACAAATCCATCTATTGATTTACACATATATAGTTTACATTCCAGACTAATCTTCTAGTAGCCTGATACACGCTTAACGTTGAAATATTTTGTTACTTTGCGCGAATGTTTTAAGTCTGTGCAAGAGACCATAATCTACTTTATTTTTTCTTCGCATGTACTATAGTAAATAATTAGAAAAAGGGAAGTTAGCTTATCCTTTCAATTTCTTGTTGTCTATAGCTAGTTCAATTTCAACAAATCAAATTCGTCCTTTCATTTAACCATGTTTAAACTTTGCAATTCCACATGATTTAAAGACGAAATCTTTGGTTCCTCATCCTCAGTTCTTCTGCATTGTCTGGGCTGCAATGGATTGGGTTGTTGTTTACACGAAAAACAAATACGACCCAATTCACTTCGGAATGACCTGTTCATACCAGCGTATATGAAAGGGTTGATCGTAGAGGAGAAAAACACCAAGAAACTTATAAGTAAGGTGACATTCCTGGGTAGACTTGTCACGAGTTGAAAGCGGAACAATAAGGCCAGTATCCACAGCGGAATCCAGCAAAACGCGAAGACTATTACCACAACGAAAAGCGAAATACTGATTCTGAGCTCGCGGCTTGAGATGCTCGGTGCTGAAGTGCTGTTTCTGCGTTGTAACGATGGTATCACATTCTTGTTGTGGAGTTTTATGGTTCGAAATATCTTGTAGTAGCAAGCTGAGGTTATTGCAATTGGGGCCACCACAAATGCAGAGATAACAATGCTGTAATGAACGACTTTCTGTGTGCTTTTCAGGTGCGTTGTAGAGCAAACTGCATAAGGAGGAACAAATCTGATTGCCTGGTTGCCGACCAATACTTGAGACACAATGTACGCCATTACAATAACCCATACGGCAATGATCCAGATTTTGCATTTCCGCATGGAGAAAAGTTTTTGATAAATGTTTGTCTTAACGATTCTGATGTATCGGTTAAAAGCCATAAGCGCCATCAGACACGGAGAAACATATATGTTTAACACGACGAAGAAGCCTTGTATATTGCAATAAAAGTTGCCATACATCCAGTCCCCGGTAATTAACACACCTGAGGAAAATGGCATCACAAATATGGCTGAACTGAGATCACTGACTGCCAGAGCGACGATGTAAAGATTAGTAGTCGTTCTAAGGCTTGAGTTGCGATAAACTGCCCAACATATTAGCAAGTTTCCCACTAATGACACCACATTCAACAAAATAAGGATCGTAGCCTCTGCCACAATAATTCCAGTTTGTCTTCCCTCTAAAGCTAACGCCGACATCTTTCTATCTTCCAGCACTGTTTACTGCTCTTTACACCGAATGGACCCGGGCAGGCGATGTTCTCAAACTTCAGCGCCTAGGTACCTGAAACAGTATTACAAAATAACACGCATTTTAGCAATAAAACCATTGCGAATTAATTATAATTTTTGGAAAGCAACATCTTACATAAACTGACATTTACTGTCAGAAGCTTGAATAGTGTTAAAGCCTTTCTTCAAACAAAATCTAAATTAGTTCCTGTTCAAATTAAACAAATGCTTTCTGCTGACGCCAGTAGTCGAGAATTTGTCTTAGTCTGATATAATGGATGTCAAGGCGTTTGAATGCACTTAAGACGTTCGCGTGAATTTTTAGAGTGCATTCTTACTGTGCACGTAATTCCCACGTAACGACATTCATCAAACGCACGCAAAATAATTCAATTGCGCTAGTGTAGATTTAGCAATTGTGGGCTTTCCGTTGATCCTTCTTTTTCTTCTTCTAGATCAATAGGACTCTGTGCTTTTTTTTCTTTCTTTGGGAAAAAACGGAAACTATATATATATATATATATATATATATATTATAACTTAAAAAAATAATGCCCACACACCATCCAATTTCTGCGACGTGGTATGAGATAGACTAAAATTTCAAATCGGAAGGCACAACAGGTGAACGTGACTCTAAAGATAAAGCTAAGAAGACCGCAAAAAAAAAAATAAATAAATAAATTAAAAAAGTGTCTAGCAAAGTACACAAGTTTATATTCTGGCACCGTCTGTTGACAGTGTGGAAAACACTGTTCCTGCAAAGTTTGCTCTACGATATATCATTCCGCTTGGTGATAACTCCACAAGTATGACATGTTCTTTGAAATAAATAACTAAAAGATACACTTTTGCGCGTAACTCCTTTATAGTAGTTCAATACCTTTGTTTACTTGTTTGTTTGTTTGTTTGTTTGTTTGTTTGTTTTGCGAATCCCTGTGAAACCGTACGGATCGATAATGCTTTTATATTCTGTAGCTACTTTCCGAAAAATGGCCAGAAATGGCCACAGCCGATTCGAGCCTTCGAGTATTTATTTATATTATGTAAGCTTCCGGTCAAAATATGATTACGTGGGCGTCAAGTGAGAAATGGAAGCGGTGTAGTGTCAAAAAGCTTAGATGATTGCACCGCAGCAATAGAGCTGGCGTGAGAATATCTAATTTTTTTAAATCCACTTTTGGATTTAATTAAATGGATATAACTAATAGCACTGTTTTTAAATCCATGAATAGTTTGGGTTAATGACTTTGGAGTGGTTTAGAGTTAGTATATTGGCTAACAACTACAACTCATGACAGCTTAATTCGACGAATTGTTGTGACGTAAACTTCGAAGACAGAAACTACATTTCTAAAATAGAGAAATATTTTTGTTCTTGGAGATTTGGGAGTATCTCCCTCATATATAGTAAATTTTCAAACTTCTAAGTTATTTTACTTATTATTAGTTGAAATAGTTTTGATCGTCCAGTACGCTAAAACTAGCTGTTTAATTGGAAAGAAAAGAAAAAAATTTAATCTGCAGAACAGATAATCCTCTATATAGTCTGGCATTTGCTGTATTAACTATTATTATATGGCTTTGGCTTGTGGCCGATATAACGCACGTTCTGATTGGCTAAGAGCGATACCCGAGCGGTCATTATGCAGCCGTACTGCCCACGGGCCGATTACGGATTATGCAAATTAGGAAGATCCCGGCTCTGAAAATGCAAGCGCATTGAAACGATGAAAGCCGATTAAAAACAGTAAGGGAAAGTAAATTTAATCCGAGTAGCTAAAAGTTTAGAGATTTTTCTTCAACACAATTTATATCGAAGTCGTTTTTGACTTACCAGCTGGAACCTTGGTGGGCATTAGTGAAAAACAATCAAAGTTTACCGAGTGTTACTGCTGGGTTCCCTGTGATGACACATTTAGGTTTGCGCATGCGTGGAGGTGGCCTCCTCGAACGGTGACCACGAGGCCACCGAGTTAAAACCTCAGTTATGTCAAGTTTTCCTCGGTTTTTAGGTCAGATTTAGTTCAAATTGTCAGTGTTTTTCTGAGAATTATACCGTTGTAATATCGTGGCATCACTGTGAGTTGTTCTCATGGCCTATCGTGAATTAAACGTTCTGGTTAAAGGCAATTTGTCCATGGTTTGTCGCCGTTCGCAGCTATACCGAGTCTTAGGTAAAGCTAAAATCGCTAAGTGGAAAACACCATCGGCAGATCTGTCATGCATCCTGAGCAGACACCACTAAGAAACTTATAAGTTTCATCATCTTAGTCAAACAATTACTGAAATATTGCACTCCGCCACAGTTCTCATCAAATAGATTCCATTGCTTTAACACAAGCAAGTGTAAATCAGCTTCCAGGATCATCAGATGTAAACAATCGGGCGGTTTCTGTCGGTAGCAGTATTTCTGATAACTGCAGGAAGTTTTAGACTTTCACAAGGCTTGAAAAGTTCATCCATAAATCCCAGAATGAAGGAGACGAAGATATGTTGTCGAAAGCGAATGGCGAAGATCGAGATATTCTGAGCAGTACATTCTGAAGCATTAGTATTTTCTTTCACCGAAAGACCGCTGGTTTGGACTATTTTGGAGTACTTTCTGTCTTTTCTATATGCGTTGATGTTTCACCACAAAAGTCGGAAAAACTTCCCCATCGAGTTGTGGCTCCATGATACTAAAATATCTTTTTGAGGCTGTGACAATCATTTTTGCCGTAAAGAAATGTGTGTTTTTAACGGAATACGTAAAGTTCACTGACTTTGTAGTTTTGCCCTGGGTTTGAGACGGTGGATGAATCGGTCAACGCGCGCATCGCCGGATGTAAATTGACGACTTCCGCTCGAATATATATTTTTCTTTTCTTTAATTCATGAGCCATAAAATAAACAACTTGATAACGTCGACTGTTCGGTCGTTACGGGAAAATCTCAAACCTCGGCCTACCGTATTGACCTCGCTATTCCTCGGTCAATACGGCAAGGCCTCAGTTTGAGACTTTCCCGTAACGACCTCGCTCTCGGTTATTAAGTAGTTAGTTGAGACTCTTCAATTCGATCACCAGGTTTAGTAAAGGGAACTAGTAAAGTGCTCCTTGGCAGAGGTACACGTCATGAGTTTTCTCATCGCCAATTTTCCAAAGTTTTCTTTCTAAAAGTAGCCTACATGCTCATTTGATAAAGCACCGGCGTCCCAAACAAGTATAAAGACAAGGTAATTATTTAATCGTCTAAGCCTCTAATGTCACTTTTAAGTAGTTATCATTTTTGTTATTTCGTAATGAGTAATCTTGTCGTCGTCCGTTTGACCCAGGCGGCCAAATATACTACTTCCTTTGTTACCGAGCGCGCGAAACACATCTCTCTGTGAAGGAAGAGTTTGCCGATTTTCGTAACCATAGAAAGGTCAGCAGTTAGCAATTAAGTAAAAGTCCAATAACTATGGTAACCACCTCTCTATCTGTATGATTGTGCAACGCCTTGTAGCGAGAACCACCTGAAGTTGTAAGCAGTTAATATCGGGGATCACAATAACTGGCTTGCCTATGATGAAATAGACTTGAACAACAATGAGCTCATTGGCAACCAAAAGCGGTTTAGGATTACTAAACGAAATTTTAGATCATTTGTTTACAGTCTAGCATAAATACAGATTGTTTTGTAAATTGTTCTACGGTTAAGCCCCCGGTGGTGGGACAGCGGATACGACTATCCTGTATTAATTGGGTTATGTTCATCGGAATAAGCTCTGTGTGCTGTCAATGTTTTGAAGATAACATCCCTCTAACAAATCCCGGCCTCCCTGCAGCCAGAGAGTTTCTCCAGGTTTTCAGAGATGCGCTTTCCCAGGCCAAAAACTTATTATCACATTTCCTGACTTTATTAGTTGCTTTTAAAACTTAGGAAGTAAACAAGATGGACGGTTCCTTTACAGTGTTCGCTGAGTACAGATGGACTACCATGAATTCTTTTTTTACAACAACCACCAGCCATTAAATATTGACGCGAACTTTTCAAAAGCGTATATTAAATTTGTAACCAAAATAGAGGATATATCTGAGTAAATTCGTACACAAAACCGGTTAAATGTCATCGCTCCTAAATCTACTTGTTTGCAGATTAATGAAATGAAATCACCCTCATCTAGAAAAAAAAAAGAGAGTGATATTTCTTACCTGTGTAAGTTTGTCACCTGTATGTCTTTTAGCGTCTTCTTTTAAAACGGGAAATTGATAACATTTATATATCGAACAAGTTTTGTCTAACGAAAATGGCTTTGAACAGTTTTTAATTTATATTTCCATATATAGTATTTGCAAATACATCCAAACATGCTGAGTAATCCTTATTGGTAACTTTGCTTCTATCGCCATACGTACCGGGGTGGAACACTTTTGTTGAGATACCAAAGCAAAACAAAAAATGTTCAACTGATACCAGTCTATGCGATTTACTTCAGTGTTACTCCCACTGATGCTTTCTTTCTTTCTTTTTTGTTACTGTGCGTCTAGTTATGCTTTTAAACGCTTCACCCAAAAGCAGAACTTTACGGCTTTTTTTCGCAAAGTGAGTAAAGTACAGTTTGAAATGCAGGATGTTAATGTTGCCTCTTTCCCGTCTAAGACATGTAATTCACATATCATATGAAATGAATAATCTTAACAAAATGACAATCATCTGCTCCTGCTGTTTAGACATAATTAATTGCACACAACTGAGGTTACCGCGCATTTGAATGAATTTTTATATTTTGAAAGATTGTACCTCCCTAAAATAAATCCACCTTTCTAAATATACTTCCATTTTGTGGTTGATTGTATGCCATCAAATAAAACGGTATGAATTTTAATGGGAAGTGACATGATCAAATAAAAAATATATACATTTATATATGCTGAATATGTGGTCGGATTTTCTTCATATATATCCTATACTGGTAAATCTTGATGCGTGTGTTCTTCAGGTCATTTCCTCTTATTTTCCGTTGTTGCTAAAGTGAGTTAAAACGATTTTTCTTAGTAAGCGTATAATCACTGCATTCCCTCCCGGGACCATCAACCATTCCTTTTCAAAACAATTCCATTTCTATGAATACTGATGATAATATACAGCGGAATAAAAAATCTAAAACAAATCTAAAATCATTATCTAAGGGGACGCCAATGTACTTATTAACTTTACAACCCAACATTACTGGAATACTTACTGCACGTGATGCCGGGCTTCAGGCCTGAGCGCAGGTAAGAACATTCAAGCGGACTATTCAATGCCTTTATTGAAATGGGCCTTTATTGAAATGGGGTTTCTGAGATCTTGACACCTGGCTGTCTCCTTAAAGTATTCTGAATATTTATATTAGCATAAGTGCTACGTAGGTGCGCATAGAACGGATCACGTATAATAGAAGGGAAGCTCTTTTACACTGTTTTAAATTTTCCTCTTGCATTCAAAAAATAATATGTTGAGCATCCTCAAATTTAAATGAATTTACAAACGCTGGAAAACCTTTGATTTCGTCTAAGAACAAGAAAGTAATGTTGACTCACCGAAGCAGATTCAACTAAAAAACAATATTTAAATAGTAAGCTTGACGCAAGCTTTTTTTGTCACCTGTACCTGCAGGGGCGTTGTGACCAAACAATCATTCTTACATAGTTGTTTGCAGGGACGTACACTAAAAATATATTTATCACTAAAATGCCATTTTTAATCATTAATTTGGCTGTTTGATATATATTTGCATATTATGCTGATGTTCTTTTTCGTCAAAGCGTATAAATTTCAAATTGATGTCAAGATAAATCGGAAAGCAAAAAAATTACATTTCACCTTATAAATCTTTTAACCTGCTAAATTGTTTGTTACCCGAAGGTTACATTTCAGTGGGAAATTAAAGAACGCCATAATCACTAGCTTCGCGGCAATGAAACACTTCGGAAACAACAAAGACATCGGCAGTGTAATAAATAAGTTTTAACCGTTTGAAGGAAAAACGTTTAGCCGTAGTATAAACAAAATAAATCTACGACAATTCATTCCTTTATCACGCATGAATGCTCGAAAACGTCCCATAACATTTAACATCGCTTTCTCTATCTCGATGAGCATAATCTCTATATCACACGGGAAGACCATCTGTTACTTGTTCGCTGATTTCCAAATCTTGGGGATTAAGATATTGTGTTTCAAAGAGAGCCGTAGTATTGGGCGCAATACTTTCACCTTGTCATTGACGGATAATGGTTCTTAGGAAAATTGACTGATATATGAGATATAGTGTATATAGTACGTGTTTTGCTCAATATTAGTGACTGGGTAATAACCGGTGAAATGTTAAATACGGCATTCTATGTTCAAAAAGAAGATTCGATTCCCTATAGGTATCGAAAGAATAGCCACTGTTAAGATATTATACCACGAAGTGGATATTGTTTTGAACACATGTACGAGAATATCCTCTGCCCTGTGTTCTGACAACTCAAAGTAAATACACGTTTTCCCGGTGTAGTCTCTAAGGTAATATGTAAAATACGTAGGGATATTAGAAGATTTTCGTGGTATTTTAAGTAGAAAAGAATTTCGTTCGTAATAGGTTGTACAATACGCAATGAAAATTAAATGCGGATCATGTGTTATGATACTTTTCGCTTCACTCTGCATATACCTACCATTTGAATATTTTTAGATCCTTTGAATGTAACACAATTCGTTTTCAAAAGTGCTATGTATGAACTTTAAGTGTTTTTTTTCTTCTTCTTCTTCTTCACCATATCGCCTTAATCGTCCCATTCGGTATGAGAAAGTAAGCTAGATTACCCTAGTATGACATTGATTCAAAAAGCTTTCCTCATTTGTAAGGGAACAGCTAAGACCCTTAAAATACTTTTAGCTACATCAACCTTGTCGGATGAAAGTTTTTGATATGCGCGACAAGACTGGAATGGGAAAGATGGAATTGCGAGAATGGGGAATATCCGCATGTTAATGCCATTGTCAATTTGCGCGTGCCTCTGACATAAAATTCGGTAGATAGCGAATCGGGATTTTACGAATTGACTATAAACATTAAAAGAGCTTTTGGAAATTTGATGAATTAATCGTTAGGTCTTTAGGTGCAGTAGCACCTACCAGACATTAATGCGCAAAACTGCGCGAGAACTTAGTTTCTATGCGCTGGCTTCAGCCAAACACTATAGATTCTCTCGTTTTCAAAATAAACTCACAGCCCCACAAAGGGCGTAAAAAGGTTCATGATCAATTGAATGTACTCCGGGTCCGTTGACGTTAGGGATCTTTGACCTACACAGTGTTTCCCGCTTAAACCATTAACTGTCGTCCATGATTGGGCTTTTATTATTGGGATTTTTTGATCGAAAGCGAACCGATATATTTCATAAAGGCTACTTCATGTTAAGAACGGCACGCAAGTACAGCAAACACGGAATCAACTTTCATTTCATGAACCATCGCAACACAGTTGAACAAGACGCACATGTATTGAGTACAAAAAGATTACGAGCGTGTGGAGTTAGTAGACAGGAGGTGGAATGCCGTTGACTAGCAGCTAAAGGCGCTTGGTATCTTGAATTGGAAAACTTTTGAGGCCTTCTACCGACGGTTCTGGTGTCGTTTTCAACACTGTAGTCGGGAATCAAAAACGTAAACAGGGCAGAGAGATTATACAGAGATGCAAAAATGTTTGCACAGGTTAGGCAGGAAACCTTAGCTGTAGCGACTGGAGTGCAGCGACTCTTGGGGCAGCGAATTTCAAGTGGACGCTAAGGAGGTAAGGGAGATTAATTCTAACCTAAGGTGCTTTGGTAAAGTTACCCAGGAGTCATGAATTTATTTGAAATGAAGAGTTTCGCTGAAAATTGTAATAGCAAAACCGTACAAAAAGAAACTACTTTCACTCGATCACGACTCGAGATTAAGCAAGAGAGAGGGAGATAACCAATACATGATCTAAAACGGATCCAATATATCAGTAAAATTAACCAACGCAGCTGTTTTGAAGTCTTAGATAACGTGAAGAAAAAATATTAGTCAAGTCAGTTCATTACATTTAAACATTTTTAAGTTGTCAATGAAGTAATACATTGCCAAACCTTACGTATTTTTTTTCTCCTGCTCTTAAATTTTGTTTTCGAGATTTGACTTCCGATGCGTTTTTCCTCTTATGCTTTTTTTGTGAAAAAAGAAAACGAACGGCAGATGTCACAAAAATTAACGCAATATTTTGCCATTCAATTTAAGATTTTAAACATTTCATGGCGAAATTGGTATGTTTATAGTTCCTGTAAAATGACACTTTCAAACGTAAGGGAAAGATTGTCAAATGCTCCAAAACACTGAAACCTAGTTAAAGCTTTTCCGGTTTTCTGGTGAACTGTTCAAAAGTTCTTGTGTCTCAACACAACAGTGAATACGCTCTTCGTCGATACAGCTCTAATAATGATCCTAACAGACTGAGAAATACAAAACTGTTTTCCCTTACCTTTCCGGGTTTTGCAGTTAGAATTACGGCACGGTCTTGACACTTGTTTTATCTGTACAAAAAATGTTTGAGGTTTCGATGTGTGCGCATTTATCTCAGATATATCGCAAGGATATAAAACCTTAATTACAGTTTTGGGAAGATATGCTCTAAACAAAAGAACTGAATTTATAATAGGAAATTTATTATTAAAGTTAAGTTTGATCACCAGCTGTATAATATATGTTTTTGTTAACTGGCTTGCAAATTTGGATAACAAAGCGGAACTTTGATAAACAAGTCTCTTCCTTGGTTAATACCTAAAGAGGAAATTAAATTAGGCAGTGACGATCTGCCTTTCTTTTATTGAAACAATCCAAATGCGTATGGCTATGTTACGGACGATCAAAATTTTGAAACGTGGTTGACTAGAGAAGAATTCGCATTAGATTTTAGAAAATAGCCTAAACAATAAAATGACGGCCATTTCTTTGCGTTTTCTCGATGTCTGTGAACAATATTTATATAACCTTTTGAACGACTAGTAGATTCACGCCAAAACAATAAAATTATTCGCTCTCGATTTCTATGCGTGATATGTGACTTGGGCTGCTCGCTCGTCAACTATCACGCGATAGAAATCCCGAGCTCATAATATAATTGCTTAATAGAAACTCTGGTGAAAGTTCGTGAGAACTAGGGAGAACTAGGGAGAACTCCAAACTTCCACTCGTGTCCATATAACTCGATAGGAACACGGTACGTGAAGCCCATCTCTAGGAGCATGAAACTCTGATACTAAGCCTATGTCACGACATTTTTACAGACCGGTCTATTTTTAGGCTTCTTTTCCCGCGACATAGGTCAGTTCCGGTCTACATGAGCGTGCATTGATAAGGAAAAAAAAAGATTTTTCTTTTTAATCTTCCGGTGAAATGATGACGTCAGTTAAAAATTAAGTCCGTGCTTGTGACTGGTCACTGAGGTTCCGACAGAGTTCTGAATTCGCGGTAAATTCAAACTAAAAATAGATCGTTCTATGAAAACACTGTGAGGGGAATATGGGGTTGTTGCAAGCTCCTACTGGTGGACTCCTGGTATTAGGTACTACTGACAATGTACGCAGACGACCATCCACTGTACGCAACTGGAAAGACCCACTAGGCTGTTGATTCAGATCTGATGAGTCAAGGTTGGCAAGCATCAGCGGGGTACAAGAATAATTTTCTCCTTGCTAACCCAGACAAGTTCCAGTCCTTATACATCAATCCAAGGAATATTGATGCCGCGGATAATGACAGAGCTTTGAACTTTGACAACCAGGAAATCAAGAAAACGGAAGAACTAAAATTGCCAGGCGTCTACATCGACGAAAATCTTAACTTTGCAGATCATATCAGCGACCTATGCACTAGGGCTAGCCAAAAAGTAGGAGTACTGGTGCGTCTGTACAATATAATTCCATGAAACGCCAAGTTAACATTGTACAAGAGTGCCATATTACCACATCTAACTTATTGCCACCTCGTATGGAACTTTTGTAAGTCATCCGATGGTAGGAAGATTGAGCGAGTATAGAAACGCGCACTACGGGCAATATATAAATCAAAGACGGAAACGAACGAGGTACTCCTCGCTCGGACCAGGCTACTAATTCTATACAACAGACTTCTACAAGATACATAGATACATATTTAATATATAGATTTAGGCCAGCCTAAACGCATAGCTCCTGGGCCGGGTTGTTCAGAGCCCGATTAAGCTAACCCAGAAAAAGGTAGAATATTAATTTGAGTTTTCTAACTTTGCGGTGAGGTTTTCTGTATATTGCTTTGCCTTCTGTTTTAATTTTAATAATCGCCATATACACAAAACAAAACAGCAAAAAACATTTGTATAGAAGAAAAATTTATAATTCGGTTAACTTTCAATCCTGGGTTAGTGTTAACCGGCTTCCGAACAATCCTGCCCTGTTTCCAACAAGTTAACCTAGCATAAGCCCGCGATCCAATCGAAAACCAGCA